AAACACCCAAAAGGGGAATAGCTGGGTTTCGTGGGATCTCTAATGATAGTTTTTGAGGAATCTCTATGCTCACTTCCATAGTGGTTGTACCAGTCTTCACTCCCACCAACAGGGGAGAAGGGTTCTTTTTCCTCAAAGGCCCTCTAGCATTTGTTGTTGCTTGACTTCTTGATCATAGCCGTTCTTTCTGGACTGAGATGAAATCTCAGTGTTGTTTTGATGGCATCTCTCCAGCGACCAGTGATGCTGAACATTTTTTCATATATTTATTTTCCATTTGTGCCTCTTCATCTGAGAAGTGTATGTTCCCTCAAGATGCCTGCTTTGGGATTGGGTCTTTGAATTTGGGGGGCCTGATTTTTTTTGTTTTTTTTTTATCATAATTTTCTTTTATTTCGAAGAATAAAAACAAAAGCAAGAAAACCCAAAACAAATGCAGAAACAGGGCCTGATTTTTAAAATTCTTTATTTTCTAGATAGATGTCCTTTGTCTAAGGGATAGTCAGCTAATTTTTTCCCCAATTTGGGGGTTTTCTTTTAACTTTGTTGACTTCTTTTGACATGAAGAAATATTTTAAAATCAGGAATCGTGATGCCTCCTGCCTTACCTTTGCTACCCAGGATTGCTTTTGCTATTCTAGGTCTCTTTTGGTTCCAGATGCATTTCAGAAATATTTTCTCTAGATCTGTGAGGTATATGACCACTCCTATTTAATATAGTTCTGGAAACATTAACGAGGGCAATTAGACATTAGAGGGAGATAAAAGGAATAACGATTGGAAAGGAAGAAGCAAAATTATAATTATTCACATATGACATGATACTCTACGTAGAAGCCCAAAAAACTCCACCAAAACACTTGTAGATTTAATAATGAAGTGTAGATTTTAATAACCATTAGATTTAATAATGTAGATGTTGGTCTACATTAGGTCTACAAGACCTAATGTTTGTATCCTGCTAGTGATCTAGCAGGATACAAAATCAACACTTAAAAATCAATAGCATTTCTGTACACAAACACCAAACACACTGAGAGAGAAATTAGGGAAACCATGGTTTTCAGAGTAATGTCAAAAAAAAAATTAAATACTTAGGAATCAATCTAACAAAAGAAGTGAAATATCTGTATAGTACTGTTTCTCGACCTTTTGGCTAAGATCAAGTGTAAAATAGCTATATAGTGAAAATTACAATATTCTTCAAAAAGAGATTAAAGAGGGTTTCAGAAAATGGAAAGATACTCCTTGTTCGTGGATAGGAAAAAAACCAACATTGTGAAAATGGTCATACTCTCAAAATTGTTATAAAGATTCAATGCAATCCCAATTAAAATTAAAAAAAATTAAGATAAAAAGGAGGAGCCCATAACCGAAGAAAACAGAGGCAGCTTCTGGGAGTGTCAGCTGTCCTTCTTCCTAACCTGAGAATCCCCCAAGCAGATAGATGTTTCATGGTCCATTCTGTATTGGAGCAGAGTGCACAGGGTACCTTATCGGAGCAGCAAGTGTGTCCAGGCTAAAGTGCTGTGAGTTAGCAGCTCTTTCCCACCTTCTTCCTCTAAGCTATCTGCGTGGTTAGGGGACATTGATGACACCAGAGTTCTCATTTTATTCAGAGCCAGACCAGATAGCCAGTTGCCTCTTGTTGGGACGATACAAGAAGGAAACAGAGACCTTGTAAAATTAATAAGAGTAGCTCACTAAAAATGTGTGTGTGTGTGTGTGTGTGTGTGTGTGCACAAACATGTGTGATTACGGATGGAGGCACAGTAGTGGAGATGTCATGTCCCATCCTCCAGGCATACCTGAAGCTATTATTCTGCTTCTGTGTCTACAAGACCTAATGAAAAATACAATGAATATTAACTGTTTGTAAAAATGTGCTACACTAAAGACATGTTACTGTGAATCCTCATCAGAGTCCTCTCCCTCACGCCAAGCACTTAGCTCACCATTCTCGGCACCTTTGGAGCAGTCCTGCAAGGCCCCTCTCATGAGTGTCTCTTACCTGTCCTGGCCCCCTCCCTCCCCTTTCTACATTCTGAACACACCTTTCATGGTCATGTTAACTGGGGCAAAAGCCAGGAGGCACACGGCGCCCCGACCAGGTGGGTGAGGACGCACTATATTTCCCATATCAAGGTTTAAAACAAAACCCAGGAGACTTAAAAAGAAATAAAATAAAAGAATAAAGGCAAGAGAGCTGATCTTGTTTTCCTGCCAGGGAAGAGTCAGCCCCTATCTCAGGCTCTGAGGTCACTGGGTCCCCAGTTGGAGGCTGGAGCGCAAGGAGACACTCGCTGCGACTGCTTTCTGGTTGGCAAGCGGGCACTGTAGGCTTTCTTAGTGGCTTGCTCTGCTTTCCCTTCAGGACATGGCGGCATAGACACACTTCCCAAAGGCCTCTCGGATGCGTAGGATCGTGCAGCGGATTCTTTGCCGAGGATGTGGTTGGGCCTTGGCCCGGTTTTCTCTCCAGTGCTCAGAGGAGAAGCACACTCTAGTCAGCACACCAGGTCCGATGTGTGCGCAGGGTGCCAGTCTGGCCGTGCTGAGGAAACAGCTGGCCCAGACCGGGCGGTCACTTCCCTGCTTCCATGCACCTGCCTTATTCCCCAAGCATCAAAATAGGCTTGCCGCGCCTTATTTCTTTGCTTTCTCTGAGAGAAGAAGCAAAGTGTTTTGTTGCATATTTTGGAAGTAGAGACTTTCTTAGAGGCCAGGTTGAGGCTGGGCGCAAGGCCGGCACCCCCTGAGCTCGGAAGCCCAGGCTTCCGCCCTGGCACACAAAGCTCCCCGGGGCGGCTGGCACATGGTCCAGACTTCCTCCGCGCACCAGCCTCTACTCTGCCTCACTGCCTTTTCTACATCCAGATACTTCTTGGCGCCACACAAAGACGAGGACCGTAAAAGTGCTCCAGGTGTTTTCCAGAACATTCGAGATTTCCTTTCGACAGCTTCTGAAGATTCTAAGACGGGATTCATGTGCAAAACGTGAGCGCAGCTAGTGCCTCTGAGAAATGATTTGAGCTCATAATCATGATTAGCGTTGAGAGTTGCGGCTCTACACAACAGCTTCACAGAATCATGCCCTGTTCAACGTGCATAATTACATTAGCAATCAGACTCCACTATCAGAAAAGGCTGCTTCAGTCTTTTTCTTTTCTGTCCTCTTCTGGGCTACTGAGGATTGAACCCAGGGTCGTGCACTGAGCTATACTGGGCTGTATTCCTCACTCTTTTAAAATTATTCTTATATTTCTGTACGTCTTTTTTATTTTTTAAAGAGAATAAAAAAGCATAAAAATACATTAGAAATGATGCAGAATTTCACTAAACAAAATGACAGGAATTCAACAGTGATTGTGATATTGCATATTGTTGACTTCAAGTTATTTTATGTTTTTCTTGTCTCTTGTTTTATTGTACTTCTTTTACAATCATTTGCTTTAAAGAGAGTATAGCAATAATTAATATGACATTACAAGCAGTACGCATCTAGAAGTTCAAAATGATGAATATTTCAAGCATAGTTTTAGTATTACACATTGCTACCCTCAGTTTAGTTGTTCATTTCACAGGCATCAGCATATAGAGTTAGTCAGGGTGAGAATTCTATCCATTAACTGCTGCTTTCAAGAACCTGATGGAGATTCATAGGACCGTTGCCTTAACCATCTTGTGTGTATAAATGTTTGGTTTTGCCTCTGCCATGTTTCCTCGCTTTTCTCTTTGCCCTCTCTTCATTGCTTAATCCTTAATTTCTTGCTTTCCATTTAACTGTGTTATATCTCTCACCCCGAAAGAATGGCTATCATAAAGAAATCAGCCAACAACAAATGTTAGCGAGGCTGTGGGGAAAAAGGAACCCTTCTCCACTGCTGGTGGGAATGTAGACTGGTGCAACCGTCATGGAAATCGGTGTGGAGACTCCTTAAAAAACTAGGACTGGAAATTCCATTCAAGCCAGCTATCCCCCTACTGGGAATTTTCCCAAAAGAACTGAAAACTTATCATAATGATATATGTGTGCCTATGTTTATAGCAGCACAATTTGTGATAGCCACATCTTGGAAACAACCAAAATGCCTGTCACCTGAGGAATAGATGAAAAAGATGTGGTGTTTTTATACTATGGAGTACTACTCAGCTATAAATAATGATAAACTCGAAGCCTACATATATAAGTGGATGCCACTTGAAGATATACTCACAAGTGAAATACCAGACCCAAGTGTGTAAATATCGTATAGTCTCCCTACTGTAAGAACTCAAAAGAAGAAATATAAATTCAAATTATTTTAGGTTATCAGATATGCAAAATTGGTCAAAAATTATAAAACATTAAAAAGGAGAGAGAGAGAGAAAATTAAGCATTCAGTGCTCCTTCCAACAGACCCGCAGACGTCAGCAGTACAGTTATCCAAGCTGTCCTGTGTGTCAGCACACACGTTTCTGTTTCCCTTCCCTCTTTTCTCCTTTCCCACATCCTAGTTGTTCCTTCCCTTTGAGCGTTTTCTTTCCCTTTACAGTGTGCATTGCACCTTTCAGATTTTATTTACTCTTTGAGGATCTTACACGAGGGAGACAACACGACGTTTATACATGCGGTCTGATTTATTTCACTTAGGAGTATAGCTTCAAGTTGTATCCGGTTATATACGGAATCCATTTACCTATAAAAGCCTCAGGTTTATTCTTTTATAGTCAAGTAATAGTTCATTGCATAAAAATACCACATCATTTTTTTTACAATCTATGCCTCAGTTATCTTTTTAAATTTGCCCCAGGGTCTCCCTTGGTCACAAGTTGCTGCAGGGTGGGCCCGCACTGGGGGTCCTCTGCCTCAGCCTTTCACAGGGCCTGCTAGTGTGCAACCCTTTCTGGTGTCTAATCTTCTTCCTAAAATCCTAAAGCACCACGACAGAAGATGAAGCACACGCCACGTTCACCGTCACGCTCACCCCCTTTTCTCTCTTCCTGGCTCTGTGCTGCAGGTGGGAGAATTCAGGGCGCACGCAGCCGAGTGGACAGCCAACGTCACGGCGGAGTTCAAAGAAACGCGGAGGCGGCTGAGCGTGGAGATTTACGACAAATTCCAGCGCGCCACTTCCATCAAGCGGAAGCTGTCCGCAGAGCTGGCAGGGAACCACAACCAGGAGCTGACCCCGTGCAGGAGGACCCTGTCGGTGAACCACCTGACCAGCGAGAGGGACGTCCTGCCTCCCTTACTGAAGACCGAGAGCATCTATCTGAACGGCTTGACGCCTCACTGCGCGGGCGAAGAGATCGCGGTGATTGAGAACATTAAGTAGCCCTCCGTGCGGAAGAGCCTTAGCCCTAGCCTAGGTGAGGACCTCTCCACGCTTTAGGACTGTTGCTGGTAGCAGCTGCAACATTGTGCATGAGCTCCAAAGGGAAGCCAGTAGATACACCCATCACGGTCATCTGCCATCGCGGGAATCGGAAGCCTGAGCCAGCACTCTTGCTGAGGCTGCTCCACTTCCTTTGACCAGCGGAAAGACAAGCGGTATCTGATGCCTTTCTGTGCCCAGACTGTTCCCCTCCCCTTTCCCACTGTGCCATAAGGCCTCGGAGCGAATTAGAACCGTTTGGAGGTAATGATGTAGCTTGGAAGGGTCAGTCCCCAACTTTTCAGGGTCCACCTAACTGAGCCGAGATGCGGACCGTTTCGGGATGACAACATTTCTTTTTGTAAATGGCAAGATATTCTTATGCAGCCTTTTACCTAAGAAATTTTCTGTCAGTGCCTTATCTTATGAAGAAGCAGAACCTCTCTAGCTAATGTGTGGTTCCCCTCCCCCAGCCCGGTCACCTCCTTCCGTCCTTTCCCCCCACCGTGGTGAATGCCAACCCTTGCTGGACACAGTGTGTCAGAGGACTGAATTGCTGGCCCCCGAAGAAGGGATCGATGCCAAATTGGAAGGACAGTGAGGCAGCACTCAGACACTCTGGTGACACAGGCACTGCAGAGAAAAGAGGCACGAAGGGGCCCCTCTGAGTATTTATTTGACTCAGGTACCAGCGGTACATGCGTATGGTGTAATTATTACCCAGCCGGTGACCTTGGCTGCTGAAAACTGTCCCTTTTATCCTGGCAGTATTTTGAATTGGTCATTGATTAATAATTATACATTTTTAAAGTAGAAGAAAGTTCATATGGGTACGATCTGATAGAAGAAAAGTGAGAAAAATCAACATCACTAGAGGAGATCCAAAACAGCAGGAATTCATTCTCATGAAAAGAAAATAGCAAAACTATATGTTACAAGGATTTGATAATAAACATTAAACTGCCAGCTTCTTTTGCTTTTTGATGTCTGAAAGGCTGTGATTTTCTTTTCCTAAGTGACTTTTGCCAAATGAGCGGGAGGCCCTCAGAGGGGTGGAGGGATAGTCCCAGCCTTCCGGGATTACTTTGAGTCATGACTAGGTGTGACAGCACAAGCCGAGGCTGGGATCACTGTGATTTGCACATGGAAAAATACAGATTGCAGGCATAATTCATTTCTGGCATTAGAGAAAATGCTGTTATAGCACAAATACTGGGAGTTTTTTGAAGATAGGAAAGGCTAATAATCCTTTTTAGTTTAATGTTATATCTTGTAATTCTTTAGATGTTCCCAAGATTCAGAAAAAAAATTAACAAATGCACCCAGCATAATGCAACCTTCTTCTTTTCATTTTTGTACTTAGGTCTGCTGTACATTGATAATTTTAAAAATTCAGAAGGAAAATGGTTTCCCTAAATATAATCGCAAAGCAAAGTTGTTTAACTTTTTCTTGAGAGGTGGGGTAGGAATATTTGAAGAAGAAGAGGGTATTAAAAAAAAAATAAACCCAGAATCTTTAAAAACAAGCGAATGATGTTTATTTTCCCAAATTTGAATTTAAGGTAGAAATGTAAATACACAGTTAACTTGTGGAAGGTACTTTTGTAAATCAAAAAAAAAAAAAAAGGAAAATCTAACCAAAATGTTAGAAAGTCAGCTTTTTTAGAAAGAAAGCTGCACCCACGTCCTCAGTAACTGTCTGGAAAGCTCACATGGTGGAATGCACCACTTATAAACTGTGAATTGTATTGCTGAATAAAGTTTGTAATTAAAGTCAGCATTTTCTGAGTGTCCTGCTTGCTGCTGAGAATTTAGATCTGATTCTGGCTGAGTAGAACAATAGGATGCCACTTTTCACAATGAAATTTTTGTGGATCTTTGATTCAAAATATTCACCCAATATTTTTGATGTAGTAGTCATGCCCTGAGCAAATAACACATAAAGCATTGTTTCTTTGGAGGCTATTAATCAAAAGTAAATATGCTCGAATTCATGTGTAAAGTATGATTTTTAAATAGCGTATAAACTAAAGATTGATTTCATTACATTATGATATTTTTATATCATATTTTATCATTGTTAGACCTTGCCTTGTCACTGATGTAGCCTGAATGCTGAACACAAGCAGCTGATTATTTTTGTTAGAAAAATAATAGTGTCCTGTTAGTACTGAAGCTTAAAGTAGGCAGTTGCCAACCAATCTTCTAGACCTTATACCTCAAATATATGAATTATTAATCTTAGCAGTGTCCTACATACATGTGTTGATTCATTCTTAAAAATTTGACGTTCAACACAGATCTGAAAACTGGGCCCACATTCTCCTTAGACATATATTGCCTCAATTGACAGCACTTTAATTTCTTCAGCTTTAGTTGTTCACTCTTATGGGAAGAATATTGGCAGTGATCTTGACGTAGCCTGGAATCTTCTAGTGAGTTCATTTTTCCATGGTCCAGTATAAGAGCAACTAGGTTTGTCCCGAAGGAAAGCTCAGTACAGAACCAGGCAGACTCAGAAATACCCTGATTGATATTCTTGGGCATGAGCTCTAAGTAATATGCTCTACCTGACCTCAATCTACTAAAGGTAAAAGTGATTCTTTTTAGATTTCCTTCATTTTTTGCAGAGATCTGTATACTTTTTCCATAGTTTATGCCACGTGCTTCTTTTCAATAATATTTCACCCCTTCAGTGAAGGACAAAGAAATCTTCACAGCCAAAATCAAATTAAGTTGTATGCATCTTGATCTTCAAAAAGATAAAAAGAAGAGAAAACAAAGGGAAAGGAACGGAAAAGGAAAAAAAAAAGAAAAGGAAAAGCGGTGTATAGGCCTTTGTTTTCTTCTCAGATTCCATGGAGCAGGTGACATGTTAAGAGATATCAAATTTTACATATGTCAAATATCAGTATAATTCTTTGATTCTTGACTGAAAAGACAAAAAGAAACTTCAGATGGAAAAAAGTCACAAACCAAATTTAGACATTCTGCAAACTTGAGACCCTAATTATGCCTGAGAGCTAAAGGTCTAGATCAATTTTTGTTTGTGTCTTTCTTATTTCTTTACAGTTTTGCTGTTCTCAAAATCATAACTTATTTGTGGTTTGCATTTCTTATCGAAGTGTGAGTATAATTTGTTGCTGTATAAAGATGTCTCTATTTGGATCTCATAACTATTAAAATTAATATATGACTTGTTTTGCTTTAGTGTGAGTTTACTGGAATGTTCTTTCATAATGAAACTTCCCAGATTTGAACATGCTCCCATGTCAGTCCTAGGGAACATGGAGTGACTCGGTTACTTCCAATAAGAAAGAACCCTTGAGGGTAACATATTGTCTATAATTTATAAGAGAAAATCACCAAAGCTCCACATGCTTCTGTCACTTCCATCCCGACCTGAAAAATTTACATCTCTTCCATTTCATTATTGTACCCACCCTAACTCTACTACTCCTCTCTCAAAGATGGGGATTTCTTCCAAGGAACAGGGGTTTTGATGTCGATCTTCTGTTTTGACTCAGTGCTCTTGGTTCACTAAGCCTCGGCCTTTGCTATTTTTACTATTCATAAAACCATGTATAATATCCCTTCTATGAGCTTCATAAGCTATTTCCACTTTGGGTATGCTTTGATTTGTAGCTATTTTTCTTCTTTTGATTTGGTGTTTCTCTCTAAAGTAGTTCTGGACATTCAGCCGGATTTCACTAGCTATTCTTTATTCTGCTTACTTCGAGTTCATTCACCTGAACTTTCTCTGGGGTCCAGATCCATCTAGCTAACTCTCATAACATCTCTCCACTTCTTATAAGCACCTCCACTTACGTGAGATGCTCATCCACTTTTCCCGGACAGGGCCACCTGTGCCTCATAGTTCAGAGAATGAACCCCCAGTTCTCTGGCTAAGAAAATCATCCTTTTTTAATGGCTTTGTTCTCTTTCACCTCCATACCCACGTATCACTAAACTCTTTTGATGTGTAGCCTAAATAAGTGTTGAATTGTGCACAGTCATCACCTTGATCTACATTGTCACCATCATCCTCTTCCTTTCTGCTAACCACCTTTATATCATTCTCTCCTTCTGTCACTGAAGGTGCTGTGTCTGGAATATAAATCTGACCCTGTTATTCTCCAGTTTGAACAATCTACCATTCATTATTATAGAAGGACTGCTTGAATCCTTCAAGTGGTCTATAAGGTCATTTTTTGTTTACATTTTTTTTCGTTTCTTTTCGGACTTGACTGGCATTTACGGAATACTCTAACCAATAAGAGGGGAATAAACATTCTTTCCAGTACATAGGAAATATCTGACTAGTAGAGTCTGTACACTGGTCAGTCAAACAAGTCTCAAAAAATTGGAAAGTGTTCAAATCATAGAGAGTGTGTTTTCTGTTGTTGGTATAACTTATGGAATCCTCTTCTGCTTTGTGCCTAAAATAACTTTTGTCATCTAACAAACTCTGAGCCATCTTGTTGTATCACCCTCTCCTTCTCTGCCATCTTGTTGTATCACCCTCTCCTTCTCTGCCATCTTGTTGTATCACCCTCTCCTTCTCTGAATCCTTTCCACTGGATTGCTGGCTTCTGTGTTGAAATCACATAGATGTTGTTCTCTTTGACTGGAAAGGTCATGCTCTACCTGCAACTTGTTTCTTTTTTCTTTTTTTTTTTTAATTTTTAAACTCAGCTGTATTTATTACCTCTTAGCAGAATTTGACCTGGGCACTCAATTCCATTCACAGGCCTTGTTCCGAATGATTTTTGAGATGGCTCGCAGTATCCCTAGGAAGTTATTTCTCCCTTGAAACAGTACTTGTCTTTGGAAAGCCAGCCCGTGCAGCTCCTGCCATCAGGTTTTCAGTATGACACACTTCTAGAAGCCCAGGACATGCAGATTTGAAACTACTGGGGAGCGTTTAAAAAAAGATCCTATAAGAAAGCGTAAGCTATCTTAACAAATATTCCTTTAAACACCAGGGAATCTCAACACTTCAGAGACACAAGATTGTGTCTGCTAAGGAACGTGGCTCGGTAACTAAGCACTTCAGACCTCACAAAGTTAACAGTTAAGTTACATCTTACCACAAACATCTCAACCTGTTAAAATAAACCAAAGTGAAACTAGAGACAGCACTGCTAGCTCTGCTTTAGTACCTAAAATAACTTTTTTCGTCTAACAAACTCTGAGCCACCTTTCAGAACCCACTCTCATAAGCCTTTCCTTACACCTCAGAAAGCTTTCCAATAGTCTCTATAAAATTCTGCTCCTTTTTCCCCCATAATTTTATTGAGAAACAAATAGCAATGAGACAGTTTCAAATCAAATTGGTAGGACAGTTTCAATAATTAGCACATTGCATACTCTCTTCCTAGCGGTTATTTGTTATATAAGATGCGGACACGCTATCCTGTTTACAAACACCGTTAGAACAAATCCCTGTATTCATTAAGAGAATGTAACTATATATCGATCCTAACCATTTTGAATACACAGATACAGGTCAACAATTTCTGACATTGCCAGAAGAACCAATACTATTATGGACTACTGTACTCTTTTAGAATATTTTGTTGAGTTAACACACCTATAATATTCAAATGACAGAACTAAACAAAAAAGGGGATACAGATGAATGTCCATTTTGTATCTGTGTATTTAAAATTCTGCTCTTTTCATTCAGCTTGTGATTAGACATTCATCACTACTTTATTCAATTATTATTTGTATCACTAAAATGTAATTTTTTGTATAGCTTACTATTTTATTTCCAGATATGAACAAATATACATAGTAAAGTGCTTAAAATGCATGAAAACTTAAGATTAAAAGTATGGATTTAACTAATATACTGGTTTATCCTTATACATAGTGTCCCAGATTTTCCAGCTCCACAAATATTAATTTACCTCTTAGTGACGCACCAGTCAATTTACACAAGTAACATTTTTCTTCTGTGAACTCAAAAGCTCCTAATTGTGCACAATTATAAAGCCAGTACTTCAGCTGGAGAGACTTGCAGTTATACTTATCAACAAGGGTTTTATTACTTTCATATCAAAGAGGGTTTTATTATTTTCACTTCCAAATGTTGACTCACAGTGGATGCTATCACAGCTTTTCAGTTATAATTTAACTTTGAAAAATTATTTGGAGTTAATTTCAAAACATATTTGGTAATATTAATAAATGATTATATTTAATCACTAAATGCACATTTATTATCCTTGCCAAATAAAATTCAGCTTTTTCATGCTTAAGTAACTATAAGCAGGCTGAGAAGAAATTAATTATTTTGAATATTTGAGCCATATTTGGCAGGGAATAGTAGTCACTTACAACAGTATAATTTTTAAAATGAATCCACAGAATAAATACTATTTTTCAGCAGTTGACGCTTGAATTTTGTACATGGTATCTTTTTCATACCATACAATTAATAGAGAGTAAAATGTAGATGATTTTATCATTGTCTGTTTAAAAAACACTTCAGACACTTCCAAATTATTAACTTTACAGTGTATCTTTCTGGAGTTACATTTTTAAAAATTTTTCAAAAGCATCATTAAATGATATTGCCATTTCCTGACACAAATCTTGCCCCTGACCAAATGTTTCATGGTTGGGAAGACACAACATTAAGGTACCGTAAAGACATCTCACTACTGTATCTTGGTTTTCAGTCAGCTGGAAGCAGCAAGTCAGAGCTTACTGATACATCGAGAAAGTTTAGAATCTCGCTGTCTAGAAATATATAAGGAGTTGTGGCAGGTGTGTGAATCTCTGCAGTGACTTCACTGTGTGTGCAAACTAGTGGCTCACTAAGTCACCACTTCCCAAGAGCCTTCAGTGTGCCAGTCATTAGAAGTCTTAAGGTCAAGTGAATGGAGGTAGCGAGCCATGGATTAGATGTGAAGATAAGTAAACTCTAATGTGACAAATATGACAAAGAGATAGGCAAAGAAGTGTCAGGATTGCTCCAAGGAACCTGAAGAAGGAGAAGCTATCAATAAAGGTTAGAAAAGGCTTTACAGAAGAACTCCAGTCTGAGTAGAATCCGGAAAGATTTAGAAGTTATTGCTTAAAGCTATGGGAACAAGCAAGGGCCTGGAATGTGTTGTTTGTGTGGGATGAGCTGCAGGGGGTGAGTGGAAGGAAGTAAGTGCCTTTCCTTTGGCACACCATAACATGATGAAGAATACAAGGTAGGAGGTCAGCTGGTCGGAAGTCAACCTTCCACCCCACTACACTCCAAGCAATTTTTCTTTTGTTTTTCAACATCTATTCGTCTCACTTTCCCCATGTGCAAAATGAAGACAGCAAGAGTTCCAGTTCTTAGCCTTATTCTGAAATTCAAATAAACAAGTGCATGTAAAGTGTTAGATGCAGTCTCTGGGACATTATAAGAACTCTGTAAGTGTTTACTAATTAGGATACAATTCATGTGGATACACAGAGAAAAAAGACTACAAAGGTCTGGTGAAGGTTCCAGTCTACCAGACATCGAGGTAATCATTTAGGACAAAGAGCCAAATTTTAACACCCAAACTTGTTTGCTAGAAAAACAAAGGAAAGGCACTTACTTCCATTTTCTTCATGAAATGGTTATGAATGAGAATCAGAGGACTTATCTGACAGGGGGGAGGAAGAGTCTTGGTGCTGAGGAGTCCTGTTGTAGTTTGGGTCTAGATTTGAAAGACTTGTGTTGAATGCTCAGTCACCAGCCTGTGGTGCTATTGGGAGGTGGTGGCCCCTTTAAGGGGTGGTGCCCTGTGGAAGGAAGTGAGGTCATTGAGGTACTGTCCCTGAAGGGAAGAATGGCACTTCTGACTTCTCTCTTTGCACCCTGGCTGCCCTGAGGGAAACAACTGTGCTCTACTACTCATTCCCTGTCTTGGTGTTCTGCTTTTCCACACTCCAGAAACACCAGAGCTGAATAACCATGAACTGGAGCCTCTGGAATCAGGAGCCAAAATAAGTCCATCCTCCTTCTCAGTTATTTATCTCAGATATTTTGGCACTGAAACAGAAAGCTGACTAACCCAAATCTTGTACTCAAGGTTTCTGCCTTTCATGGACCCTGAAGGGTGAGAAGTGAAAGGGACCAAATAAAAGGGTCAAAAAGTGCCTCAGAAGGAGGCCTCCAGGTAGAGGCGACTAGGCCTGGGCCTTGACTACAGCTGGCTGCAC